CTGGAGGAAGAACAACCAGTTCCAAGTATGATTCTTTAAGATAGAATCTACTTCACTCTCGATAGCCTCTCTCGGGTTGGTCCATCTGTAGAAGTCACCACTTCTACATATGTTCGAGGCTTGTTTTGTAACAACCTTGTCAGAAAATCCAATTTATTTTCTAGTAAACAAGTTAGAATATGCGCGTCACATTCTAGCATGTACGTCAGAAAATTTGGACCAAAGGATTTTTCAATCCTAGCTCTCTTGCTACGTCTAGCTTTGAGCTCGGGTTCTCTTTCATACCCTTCAACCATAGCTACGCCGAAAGTTCCTTTTAACGTGCTAGGTCCTTTATTGAACCTTCACAAAAATACATTTTCCAAAGAATGATGAATTTCTTGATTCAATTTATTGTGTTCTTACGTACATCCACACTATAGGACTCGTGTACTAAGAACCAATACACACCTTTGGCAAGACACCCCCACATTTCAGGCATTAGTAGGAAAATTTCCTACGTACCCACAATTCGTAAGAATTTCATGCGGGTAACCTTATTTAAAAGGTACTTACTTGTCCAAAGTATTGTCTTACCCCTCACATACCTTGAGGTAGACCCGAACTTATCAACATCTTGATATTTATGTTCGGCAACAACGTTCGATTGAGGTGAATACCGTATCGTACTTTCGAGTACAATACCAACGCTTGCGCAGAAATCACCAATAGGTGTTTCATGTCCACCACGTCGATCGTTCGTAACCGCATTAATCCACGATTAATTTGGTTTTCTCTTTTATTCTTATAAAGAATAACCATGTGCTACAAGTTAGCACATCTCGTAGGTGTGAATGAGTCAGCACGTACGAATCCATTCGGTTTTGACCGAAAGGCCACAAACCCGAATCAGTGCTTCCGAAATTGAAGCACGAATTAGTGCTTAGTAATGAGGCACGAATCATGCTATACCAAGCACGAATCATTGCTACCAAACTAACGCACCGATTCCAAAGCAATCTCTGTTGCTTTAAATTATAAACTCGCAGCAACATTCGGTTGCTTAATGTATAATTACAGTGCTACTTAGCACTAGGATTATTAGTTAATTACACAATTAACCAAACCTCCTTTCGTGCTAATCACATAGCACTTTTATAATGCTAAATTTAATTAGCCACATACGAAAGGTTTAAACTAAGTAGATTAGCATTAAGACCAATCATAATCTAGCACCTTTATTGCTATTACCAAAGCACCAAATGCTTAAGTTTTCAACACCTAAAGGTGCAGCCACCAAGTGGCCGAAAGTACCTAATTAGGCACTCTACCTAGTGCTCAATAGCACTCTTACAGTGGTTTAATTTGCACTTCAAAGTGCCAAATTAAATTGCACTTTCCTTTAGTGCTACAAAAGCACTATTCACCAAAACACAATTTGTCTCAAATTAAATATACTAGTATAATTTGGAATTTTTGATCAAGTTAATTATAACACAATTAACAAACCAAATCAACCAAATTTCCAAAACTTGTTTAATCAAACTCAAATAATCGTTCTTAGAATATTATATAAAATATTCAACACTTGAGCTGTGACGCTCACGATTATATAGTTATCCCAATTTTTGACAAATTGATCCTATTTTGAAATCTGTATCGTTCAACATGAACTAGAACCGAAGTCCTTTTACGGGATTTCTCAAACATGTAACACGCTTGTTACATTTCGTTCCGGCCGCTAAGCCATTTTAGCATTTTCCACATAATGCTCCGTGATGCACCACGCACCCATATTGAATTATTTCATACATTTGACATTATTCTAGCAAATAATTCGTATGTACCAAGATTCAACTGAATGGAACAATTATATTTTTATTCAAATAAAAATATTACAAGGATACTACAACATTTATTCAAAATAAATAAATTAGGGAAAATACATTGGAAACTAATTTCCATTATTCCTATCTCGTAGTAATCCTTCAACCCGTGTGTTTTGTTCCATTCTCAACCGTCCACTCCACAAAGGGTGGTCCGTAGCGCACATCGGGGGTACCTCGGTTGTGACCTCACTCGTCCAACCATCCACATGTTTTAAACATAGCGAAGTTGTCCTCAACCTTTTCACCAGGATGACGATTCGCTTCATAGTGGCATTTCTCCTTCTTCTCGTAATATTCTTGAAAGCTAAGCTTCCGCTTGAGTTTCCTTCGATTACGGTTGAAGTCATTGCTAACACTCCTCAGACCATGTAGTCATTACGCCATCATAGGATCCTTCGTGGCTTTTAGCCGATCCGTTAGGCAACACAATAGGTACCAATTGTGTGCCATTAGTCACAGGTCTACCGGATCGTGAACCAAAGTTCTCCGGAGCACCATCGTGTGTCTTTGCAACTCCCATGGAAATAACATTTCCAACGTTGCTGCCATCAACTGGCATCTCAGAATGTGCAACCTCGTTGCCGTTCCTACCATTTGAATGTGCACCTCCGGCAACATTCACGGATCCAAAACTTTTGGAATCCACCGACTTGCTCATTATCAAAAATAATAAGGTTTTAAGATTGTTGGTGATAATGAACCACAATCGATTTAATATCCCAAAAATAATATTTATATATACACACACTAGTATATAAAATATTATTGGATATTTATCCGAAATATATATATACACACAAATATATATAAAACGGATCCAAAGGTTATATATACATGTATATCTACAAAAAAGATACACCAATATATATCAACCAAAATTGAAACTAATAATCCTCAGATTATGAGTCCAATCCAAATAATATATCAGAAGAGAGAGAACAGATTTTTGCTTAAAAGCATAATCCAAACAAGAAAGAAGGAGAAGGAAGAAAGAAATGTACGAGTTAGGCAAGGTGCCTTTCTTTTCTTAAAACCTTATTTGCCACCTCCCAAGAGTGCTAGGAGCGTTGTGGCCTAGGTTTCCCAGGATAAAACGTACAACGGTTCGACGTTTGAGCACCCAAACGAACGAACCCGGTGAACTAGAGCACGGGCAAAACACAGTTTCAAGAAGAGAGTAGGAGCAGAGTTTTTGGAGCTGGGAAAGCAGAATTTTCTGTGTTGTGTGTGACTGTAGTTCTTCACTACTTCACTGTGTGCAAACCTGCTGCTCCTACACTCTTCTTATATAGGAGTTTGAAGAATCAATAGCATTTAATTTGGCACTTAATGCACGATTTGTAACACCTGAAACAACCACCATTATTTGAGTTTTAATACAAAAATCAAACTGGAATTTAATACTGTAACAGTCCAGAACCAAACTAATGAATGGTTCATACTTTCGTGCAGCGCCTCATTTGGCCAAGGCCGAAACCAGCTATGTGTTTCTTGAGGCCGAACCCACCAACACGAGAGGAACTCTCCGAGTTGCCGAAACAAGTGACTATTATGTTGGAAAAGTAGGCATAAACTTAGCCCGCAAGGCCAGCCAATTTTCGAACAACATTCGTGCCCCCAGGTGCCGGCGCACACGAGCTCGGGCTTGAATCAAGCCTTTTCGATCTCGTTTCTAGTTGAAATTTGATTTGCACCCCCCCCCTGCGCGCGCGAGAGAGCCTCTATGCTATACAATTCCACAAGCTCCTAAAGAGCCCTTGTATAAAAGGGGGGTGAAATCCTCTTTCCAAATCAATGTGGGACAAAGCTCACTTTTCCCTTCATTTTTCCAACTCAATGGGTCTACTTTGAGAATCAATATCTCATTCACCCATTATCCGTTTTGAGCGTACAATATATCAATCTCTTCGTCTCACTACGAAGAACCCGAATCCACTTTGACCCGACCAAAATCGGAAGTGAACCCCACTGACAATTGTACCACAAAATAGCCACTTAAATGCCATTTTAATGCTATTTTCCAACAAACGACGCCATTCTATTTTTTTTTTAAAATTGTTTTTCACTTGCCGTTAACCGCGTTTCTCTCTTCGCAATCGCACAGTTTAGAAATTATGAATCTACTGTATTTAAATTATGAATCTACAATATAGATTTTATGAGTTTACAATATATAAATTATAAATCTACAGTATAAAAATTATACATCTACAACCGTGCCCACCTTTCCGCAGCATAACGCTCCTAAATGTTGTTGATGGGCTGCGCATGAGTTCTTCTAAGCATTGTGGGTTGACTGAGTGGACGGCCTAATAATCTTATGAGTTTTAACTCCAATAACACATTAAGCATTCATCATCCCAATCGTTATGCTATGGACCTATGTCCAGCATATATTGTGGACACGGACTGAAATGGTGATGTTTTAATGTAATGTATTAACGGTGTCGTAAGTGACACTGTTATCTTCCACCAATCATCTTTTTTTTTTTTTTATTATTTAAATTTCAGAACCCGATTTTCGTCACGATTAAGCATCCATTTTCACAAGTTTCCTGTCGATCAAGCTTCCATTTCTTCTTCACATAAAGCTCGGTTATGAATGTAGAGTTATAACATTATGAACATACAGTTTAGACATTATGAATGTAGAACTCTTTAACTTGCAAATTGTGAAAATAGAGATATAAGATTATATGAATGTAGAGTTATAACATTATGAACATACAGTTCAAACATTATGAATTTACAGTTAGAAAATTATGAATGTATAATTATGGAATTATGAATGTACAGTTATGGGATTATGAATGTACAGTTATGAAATTATAAACACAGAGCTCTGCCTGCCAAACAAACGAATAACGCCGTTACCAGCAAAACAAAATCAAAAAAATAAATAAATAAAAATAAAATTGGAATGCCGCCGTTTCCCCTTAAAACGACAACGTTATGGACTCGTGTCCACAATGCACAGCATAATTTGCATGCATCATCCTTTGCCCGATTTCTTTGCACCGGATTTCCAGATGAATCTCTTGCGTGCTCCCCATTCCCCAACAGTTGACACCCTCGCTCTTGTAACTAACAACAGCCCATTTTCTCTCACAACTCTTGTTACATCAGCAGATAGCAGTCCTACTACTTTGTACTTTGCACATAGTTCTAGTCTTAGGCCCTGCATCAAATTCAACCCATCCAGTTGAATCAACTCTACCCAAAATGGGAATTGAAGGATTTATATGTACTTCACCTCCATCATATATAAAAATAATAATGATAAAGCTAAGGGCATGTATGGAAATAATGCAAACTGTTGCAAATAGTTAGTCTCCCTCACCTCACTTACTCTTCTTTGAATAGCAGCTTCAAGGCACTTGATGACTCTATCCTTTTCCCCTTCAGTATATCCAAACTGCATCCATCTATCCATATGACGTATATAGTATTCCTACGACTCCAGAATCTTAAGTTCAATCATTAGAATCAAGACTCGAGGACATTTGAGGAATCTTTTGAACTGAATCTCGGGTAGAGCCACATTAAATATCTCACTTGCAATTTAAGATCCAATGCACACCATTCTATATGTATGCAAGAATTTGTCTGTTTGTGTGTGTATTGGGGAAGGATGGTAATTATGATGATAGATCAGAAAGGAAATGCAATTATAACTAAATTAACTATACCATTTACTTCCCATAAAACATGCATAAACTGTTTTATAATTTACGCAGCTCATTTGATTTAAAAGAGCATAAAGACTTCTCTGCAAAACCTCACTTTTAAGCTTATAGGTGTAAACCCCATTACAGATCAAAAGAAGCTCAATATTTTGTCTTTTTACTCTTTTTTTTTTTTTTTTTAATCACAAGAATATCCAAAACTAAACAAGTACGAACCATTTCCCTACAAAGCAATTCCAACCCCAATTTGTATATTTAGTCATTCCTACAAAATATTTCTTTTGTTAATTATTCTTGTGGGGCAGAATTAATGTCCTTAAGGCTTATACTTTTTAAGAAAAATGGAATTTTCTCCTTCATTAATGTCCTCTAAACACATCCTAGATCATATATAATAAATTAACTTAGTGAATACCGGTGATGCAGAAGGACCATCTGATGAGATAGCTGCATGGAAAACAACATACTGCATGTCTGTTAAGGTGCTATTTTGTTTTGTTTCCCCATCGCCCCCCTGCAAGTTTTAAAGCATACACATCTGTGTAAATCAGTAACCATCGTTGTTTCTGAAATTTGATTAGGCTATTTATTTTGAGCTAGCAGTCCAATCTTGAATTGAAATAGTGTACAACATGATCCATGCAGTCTCCAGTAGTTCTCTGGAACATACAACTAAAACAAGTTTCAAACGGACCCAAATAAGAGCTTAGAAATATGGAATGGGATGTGATTAGGTCCAAAAATACTGGAAATATTATAAGCAAAGGTAGACTTACCATCCATGAACCACCCGCCGTCAGAGGATGCGTAAGCTTTAGTGATAATGAGATCAAGGTCACACAGGACTTGCACAACCTCCAGAAGTATTGTAAATATTTAACTGTCTGCGTACGGGAATTAATAATGTAATAACGATCGGTGCTCGACCGTTTGTACACGGCGGCCCGATCGGTTTTCGTATCGCTTGAAGTAGGTTGCTTTAGATCTACTTCAACAACCGGTCTTGCTCGTGCTTCGCCCGACCACGACTCAGCATCAACGAACGAGAGGAGCGAAAGCCCCACGACTACAATGTCGCTTAAACTTGTCCGATTAAACCGGAGTCCAATTTCAGTTATAACTGGTCAAAGTCCATACCTCTCCCTCGGTCGTACAGAATATATCAGATATAACTGAAAGTTTAGACACAGCAGGTTCGCATATAACTGTAACACTTAGCAGAGTTGTACTCCTTACTTCAGCACAAGAATGGGGCCAAAGACCATGTTTAAACTTGTACAGAAACTAACACCAGAACAAAAAAAAAACTGTCAGTGATATTGGTTTTTGATCCCTATTGAATCTTCAGCTGTGCACAAACGAGTCACAGTTAGTGCAGTATCTGCTTAAAAACTTTGAGCTTTACCAAACACATTTCATATTGGAGAATGATAAGCTCACTGTTGAAGAAAGGACATAGAGTACACTCTAGGCATTCCACGGGGACAAAAGGTGGTCGTTGAGGGCCCAAAGTATGACGAACGAGGAACACCTGAGTACAGAGCTCTGTTAAAAAGTTGGAGGACAAGGTGAAATATTACAAATGGTTCCCCAATCACAACCAAAATGGGGGACAAGGTGGAATATTACAAATGGTTCCCCAATCACAACCAAAATGGGGGATGTGATTGTTAACAGAGGAGATTATGGTGACGAATTTAAAATGGATCAGACTTCATGGTCTTGACTGTTTCATGCATGATGCGAGGGTTTCAGACACGCAGCTGCAACCATAGAATACTAAACTCCTTGGTAAATGTTCATGAAATAAAGGAATACAATTGGTGTAGCTACAGCTACAACTCTCTTATCAAGTCCATTGAGAAGTATAAGAAAAAAAGTAATAGCTTTTTTACTGGACCGATGACATTCATACTGGTAAATTCTAGTTATACATCAAATGTCTTTATTGAATTCATTGTCTTTGTGTGATTATGTGACTTTCAATACAATGTTATAATATTACGCATATATAATTATGAAATTGTAAATATAGGGTTATTGAGATTATGAGATTATGAGATTATGATTTTTCTATTAACAGATTATGAATTTTCTATTATGATATTATGAATTTTCATTTATGATATTATGAATATAGTGTTATGGATTTATGAATTTTCTACTATGATATTATGAATTTTCAGTTATGATATTATGAATATAGGGTTTATATGGATTTATGAATTTTCTACTATGATATTATGAATTTTCAGATATGATATTATGAATATAGGGTTCATATGGATTTATGAATTTTCTACTATGATATTATGAATTTTCTGTTATGTATTTATGAATTTTGTGTTATGAGATTATGAATTTACAGTTATAAAATTATGATTATAACTATTTTTTTTCTTGAAAATGTAGCTATTCTACTTTGATCGGATCCAATTCAAAGGGATGAGAGTTGAGAGAACATACCCAAGCATAACCGCATGGACAAGAAAGCTTGTAAAACAAAGAGTTTCTGCAGAGAAAAGGTCAGGTGGATATGGGAAAGGGAAAGTTATCCTGCGTAATGCGAAGCCTACTGCTAGTTGTGCCACTCACGCTACTGTTTCTACTTCAAACCAACCTACTGCTCCTGTTGCTCATCAGACAGTCCCATCAGTCTCTGTGCCGCCATCCAGTGTTGACAGAGTTACGCAAGTGCTACGGTGGCTTACTACTGATGTCTTGGAATTTGGAGAGGCAATGGCTGAAGTTGGCAAACAAAGTGAACCTGTGGAGGTTATGAAGACAGCATTTTCAGGCATTTCTACCATGATTACCGTGGCTAGTACGACGGACAGACCATCAACCCCAACCTCCTCTCAACTCGATGACATCTTCTTTGGTCAGGAGTCTTTCACAGAGGCAGTTGATGCTTTGGTTGAAGCATTTCAAAAGACCAACAAGCAAATGGAGATGGAACCTCCATCATTTGATCTGGGAATTTCTTATCCCCCAACACCATTGGGATACCCATAAACTCCTACCCTTTCAGTTATAACTGGTCAAAGTCCATCCCCAACTTGCTCTACATCAATTCTCTTATTACAGGCCGGCGAATGTGATTCGCCGTTGTCTAGAATCTTCTCCAACCTCAATCCGCATCATAGCCAAAATCAATTGGCCGACCGACAACCTGCTGCGGTTCCTCCGATCGCGATTCGCTAATCAGCCCTCGGGTATGGAAACAGTTCCGACGATTCTCGGATCGCATGCCCTCGGCGGATCTTCGCAAAAATTCCCAATACCCGCCGCAGGTTTGAGACGTCGGCTTTGGGGAGTTACCGATCATGGTGCGGCTGGTGGGGATGCGCCCGGATCATCCTCGCGGCCTTCTGACGAGGTCCAGCTCGGTCATCAGCCTCCGTCCCCTAGACTCTTCAGCAACGATCTTCACGGTGTTTCGACCATTAATCCATGAAGAACCTCAAATATTCTACCCAATATCCAAGAAGTCGTATATTTGACGACATGGCCATTGGCAGCATCTCTAGGTCTTCAACTAGGTTTTTGTAATGTTTTTCTTCAATGAATGGCAGCTTCTCAAGAAGGCGGACAAGGACCCCAGGACCAAGATAATGATCATCGTCCTGTTTTCTCTCCGTTGGATACCTTCCTCGAAGATCTCCCGTTCCGATCCAATCCGGTCAACGTCTGGTTGAAACGCAGGCTCCAAGAAACTAGTTCTCGATTGAGAACGTCATCATGCATGCGTTCTTGGACCTTCGTCGATAACCGTAAGCTACTGGCTTCAAAGGGGAGAAAAGAAACAAAATAGAACTAAAAGAGATCTACCGTCGATTGCATCCTGCATGACGTACGGACGGTGATTATGATGGTTGAGTAATCTCTCTATATCTTTGGTGAACGGTATTGCTCCCTTAGACCCTAATTATTCATCCTTATGCAATATTGTTTCGATGTGAATGTGCGATCTTTAACTCTAGGGAACCTGTGCTATTATATTGCCTAATACGATGGTGCTAGTCTTTATTTTATGATGCAATAATTAATAATGCAAATGATGTTTTTTATGCTCATTTAAGTGGTAACAGTGCTTTGCCTTTTGCCCAAATGTGCAAGGCATTGTGGCTACTGGTACTTCTTATTTGCATGCCACTGTAGCTACTGGACCAAGTGAGGGCCCTAGTACTAATACAACCATTCGGTATTAAACTCCTACCATAAACTCCTACCCTTTCAGTTATAACTGGTCAACTATGAAATCGGTGGCTTTGTTGGAGGGACTGTTGGAGGGGGAATGACGATTCCCGGGTGAATAAGGTGGGACTGTTTGTACAGGGGTCCTGGAGGTAAAGGTTGGAACTAGATATAAGGTTGGGGTAGCCATAAGGTTGGAACAGGGCATAAGGAAGGCATTTCAACTCGTGATGTGTGATGTCACGAGGGCTTGTGTAGTCGTGGTTGTGTGTTCTCTCTTGTGTAGCCGAGGACTAGTACTACTAGTAATTCGAAACTCCTTCACCAATTCGGGGTACATATCCCCTTTTATGGTGAGATACGTATCCAAAATCCCTTAGTGGTTGAGCATGTCGACCAATTCCGGAGAAAATTGATCGGGTTCGAGAGCTTTACCTCCGCTCACGGTGTAGTCGGCGTTGCTCCATTCCGGGGTGCGGACTCCGAGGGGCTTTTTCGGAATTTTTAGAATTTTCTGTTGGGTAGCGTTTTCCGGTGGGCTCCGGCGAGACTCCTGCGAGATTCCGGTGAGGGTTCCGGTGGTTCGGTTTTGTTGGTGGCGACGGCTCTCGGCGGGGCCTGGCTTGGCGCGGCGGCGGGGATGCTCGTTGGGGTGCTGGGGTGGTTTGCTGTGTGGCGGCGGGATGAGTGGGGGAAGGAAGAGAGGGAAAGAAAAATCTGAAGATCGAGTATATCCCTACGGAAAACCAAGTTGCTGATATTCTCACAAAGCCTTTATGCGAAACGAGATTTTCAACCTTAAGGCACGAGTTGGGAATGATCGAAATGAGCTAAGTATCACTGGACTTATTCTCTCAATTTAAATTGATACTTGTGCTCAAAATAAATTGTTTTACGTGTTTATATGCATGTTTTTATTCAAAATTTGTATGTGATAAAATTGCAATATGTGTTAGGAATTTATTTGTGTATTTGCATGTG